ATTGTTGATATGGACTGGTCACCTAGATCAATGGTTCTCAAGATTTAGTGTGATTTATAATCACCTGGGGAACTTGTTAAAAATGCCTGCTCCCTGGACCCCACCCCAGAGCTTGACTCACTTAGTTAAGGCTGGACCCCAAAATTTGCATTATTTACAAGCACTTTGAATGATTCTGATATCAATGGTGTGCATCTGGTAGTTTTATTCTTTTTAAGATTTTTATTGACACAGAAATATAAAACTTAGAAAACTGTTCACAAATAAGCCAGTTTGAGAAACTCTGGTATCCTCAGATTTGTATCATTTACAAATGAGTAAGCCTTGGATATCAGACAAATCCCTAATAAACTTCTTGCATAGGAGAGTGTTAGCAGCCAAGGCTTTCCTTCAAATGGCTTCGACCTATTAAACAAATTTATTTTAAGGGACAGGATATTCTAGATGATGTTCTTAATGATTCCCAGAGCATTCTGGAAGCTGTGGACTGTAGTGGAATGACATTTTCAGGTTGTACCCTCACTGTTTAAATCTGCAACCAGTGAGACAGTTGGAAAGGGGGAAAAAACACGCTGGAAAACAGGAATTAAATTACGAAACAAAGCTAATGTTTTTCCTTAAAGTAGCTATTGCTGTATGTTTATTAGTTTATAAAGTTAACCATCACACATTTGCCTAAAGAGAAGATAGCATTAACAAGTCAATAAGCCCGACTTCTGAATGTGTCTTACTATCTATTATTTCTTCCTCAATTAATTTTTGTTGATAGCTTCTGGGGTGAAGCATAATAGCTGATTAGGATTACTTACAGCTTTACAGGGGATGGAGAGGCTTGCTGGCATTTATTTTGTCTTTTAGGGGGAAAGTGATTAAAATGTTAAGTGTCTTGGCATATAATTCAACAGTGGTCACGTGGTTGAGAGTTGAATTTAATATTACAGATTAACAACTTCTATTATTTGTATTTTAGCATTCATATTTTACCATTCCATATTTATAATACATAAACTCCTTAAATAGAAAACATTCTCAATGGATTTTTTATTTTTACTTGAGAAGAATAGAATCATTGAGCATTTACATTTAATAAAGAATTGATCACTAGAATAACACTTACAATTTTATTAAAATTATTCCGTTTAAAAGTGCTGAGACTTATTTCTAAAATTTACTAGAAATGGAGAAAGTACAAATATCAATAAGGATATGTTTTAATACAATAAAACTTACATACTATGTACTGGTCCACCTTTAAGGCTATTCTTTATATAAGAATACAAAGAGAAAAAAGGCAAATATGGAATTCTGATGAATAGGAATGATTTTAAATGGTGTTAGCATGCCTAAACTTGCTCCCTCTCCTGTATACATTTTTGTACATTTTGTGCTACATTTATACTTATCAATACTTTATTTCATTTTGCATCTGTGCCTTGCATGTAGACAGACCCCTGAAATGGTGTATACAAACTCAATATGAAGAGAGCATCTGGAAGCCTTAATGAGCTGTAAACTTAAAGCTATTCTTAGAACCTAGAAACTCTTCAATGGATTTTTATTTCAGAAGAATAAGCTTGTTGCTTTTGAATTATGCATTCATCCCTGTATTTCTCTTATTTATGGTCCCCAGTAATGCTGTGGCTGAAGACTTTACATCCTGATTTCAAGAACTTGATATGCAATTCAGGTGCCCGACATTATTCTGAGCATAAAATAAGCCTCAACTAGTTATTGCCAGTGTTGTTAACATTTCACTAAGGCAGCAGATCAAGTTGAATAAATGAGGCCAAACGAGTGTGCATGTTTATTAGGGTGGCATTTGTAGGGTTTGCTCAAGCGTCAATATTCCTTCAATTTTCATGTTTGAGAGCAAAGTTCAGATGAGTTTAACCAGACTGATTCTCTATTATTTCTTTCTGGAGTCTCGTCCATAACGCTGACAACATGGCTGTCAATACAACTGCAAATTCTGTCTTTGTCTTGGCTAGCAGTTACTGGTAGCAGAATACCAGTTACTCATTCGCTCAAGGAGTCAGTACTCTGTTGACATTTGAGGTGGAATAGAGGTTCTGGGGGATCCAATCTCTTCAGCTTGGGATGAATTTACACACATATCTTACCTGAAGTAAGTTGCACCCTTTTCTCTGCACTGTGGCTAGAATTCTTGATAGCTGGTGGCCTTCAGTGATATAACTTATATACAGTAGAGTAATTTCAGGAAGTCCATAAATAAGATTAGCGTAGAGGAAGCCCAAGTTAAGGTAGTGGAGACCAGAATGGGCATCCTAAGAACCTAGGCTAGAGTCACGGAATCTTTCTGACTTTCCATGGATTATTTCAGTATTTGCATAACACTCCCTTTAGCACTGTGTGAACATAGTAAATTAAGAATCTGAAGAACTGAGTTCTCATGCCAAATTGGCACTAATTCTCGGACTGTGTAAAAGGCATTTACTGGACCCAAGAACTACTTTTCTACAACTTATTGAAACGGCACCATGAGGGGGGTTACATGGCCAAGAATAAAGAATTCTCTGGGGCTATAGGGCCTTTATTTTTGGTAGTGAGAGGGAAAAGGAGAGAAGTTAGTATTCTAAGAAAGCAAGCAAATTCAATTGTAATTGTATCTTCATCTTGCTTTCTACTTTATGTTCCTTCTCCTTTCTATGTGGAAGAGCTCATTATTTCCTGATAAGAGTTAAATAGTAGGGTTTTCATTAGTGCTTTTACTAAGTAGTAAGCGGTGATACATCTTTTAGTTTTATAGAACCCTAACATTATTGAACCATACAGAATTTTAGAATCAGTCCCTAATTTTATACATGAGGAAGCTGAATCCCTGAAGAAAAGTGACAGCTTAGTTCATTATTCAATGTCCATTCATTCATGTAGCAAAAATGTTAAGTGCTTGGCTTGCAATGTGCCCAGTGAGGCACTGTGCGGAGACAGAGAGGACTAACAGAGGATCCTGCATGGGATTCACAAGAAAGAATGAAGAGATTGCTATTACCAAGATGCAGGCAAGTTGCTGAGGGAGCTATGCAGCTATGCACCACTCATGCATTTGATGTTTCTTTTTCTCCCTGTCTGTGCTGGGGGAAAAAATAATAGAGGAGAGCCTTGGTCAAATCCAGAGGATTCCAAAGTAATTGCTTCTGAGATTTCCTATCAAACTGTACAGCAGTATGATTTTTACTCCAAATTTTCAATTCATGGAATATTACCATAATTAGATGGGGTTTTGTTTGCTTGTTTGTTGTTGTTTTTTGAAACGGAGTCTCCCTCTGTTGCTCAGGCAAGAGTGCAGTGGTGAGATCTCGGCTTACTGCAACCTCTACCTCTCAGGTTCAAGCAGTTCTCTGCCTCAGCCTCCTGAGTAGCTGGGATTACAGGTGCCCACCACCACGCCCAGCTAATTTTTGTATTTTTAGTAGAGACGGGGTTTCACCATCTTGGCCAGGCTGGTCTTGAACTCCTGACCTCGTGATCCACCTACCTCAGCCTCCCAAAGTGCTGGGATTACAGGCATAAGCCACCGCGCCTGGGCCTAGATAGGTATTTCTAATTAAAAAAATTGCTTAGTTGTCTAACATTGTTCTCCCAAGAAAATTGCCATTCAGACACTATTGCTGATTTTCATCACCACAAAGATTAAGATTCATGAGTCATAAGAAAAAGTTTGCTTTCAATTTTAAAAAATAGCAAAAATACTGCAATAAAATGAATGAAAATATGGAGCCATCTGTGTCTTGAATGATAATGCCAAATGAGTGTTTATTGTAAACAATACAATTTATTCAAGTCTACTTTCAATAGAGTGCTTTAGTGTACATGCAAAAAAGGAAAATGAATTCTTTCTTCATTCACATACCTTATATGCTACACACACACACACACACACACACACACACACACAGAGTCATACAGGTGCACATGTGATATGTGCATATATATCTCTAATACTCATGCAACACTTCCTGACAGGAAATGCAGTTAATTCCCAAACATCCACTATTGGAAATGTCACCTTTATCTGTCACCTGAAAGGCAGTTCAGGCCCTCGTTACCTCTGGTTTTAATGCCACAGTCTCCTCCTATCATCAACCTGGTATTTGCCCATCTGTTCTAGTCTTTGCAGAGCCATAAGATTAGTTTTCCTAAAACATTACTTAAGTCACACTTTCTTGCTCAAAATTTCCCGAAGCTGTACACCTATAGAATATAGTCACATAAACTCCATAGCAACATAGCAACTATAATTTTCCAACCTTCTCCCTCTTCAACATGAAAAAACCCTTCCACTCCAGCCAAGGAAATCAAATGCCATCCCCCTTTCCTACTAAAGTTTTCCTCTAGAAACCTGCACCAAGTCTCCCCACCTCTCCAGGCCTCACTGACAGATAAGGTCCCCTAATCCCTCCCAGAGGCACGTGTTCTGTATCCTGTCTTTGGCACCCAGTAGCAAATGCAGTATTTTTGTTAATCCATTTTTTTCCCTCTTTCAATGAGTCCCTGAGGTCCTGGAGGGGCAACCGGATGATTTGGAGAAGGCTCTATTTTAAAAAAAATAATGTACAACATGAAAAGGATCTGATGTACAACATGAGGACTAAAGCTTTCAGGATTTTGCTAACTGAGTATATTATAGCTGCACTTGCCACAAGTAGAGGGGTGTTGGGAGAAATGCGTAACTATGTGAGATGATAGATGTGCTAATTTGATCGACTATAATAACCATTTTACTATATATGTATCTTATGTTGTATGACTTAAATAGACATAAAATTTTAAAAATTAAAAAATATTTAATATTTTTATTTTTAATTTTTGTGGGTACATAGTATGTATATATATTTATGGGGGTACATTCGATGTTTTGCTACTGGCATGCAATGTGTAATAATCACATCATGGAAAACAGGAAATCCATCCTTCATTTATCCTTTGTGTTACAATTCAATTATACTTTATTTTAAAATGTACAAATTATTTTGACTATAGTCACCCTGTTGTGCTATTAAATACTATGTCTTATTCACTCTATTCTTTTTGTGCCCATAAAAACATTTCTTAAATGTCTTAGTTACTCAGTCAGATCTTAAGATATTGTGAGACGACCAGGGGTTACTTATTTCACTTACAAATCAGGAAGCCCCCTCCGCTCCATTTCAGTGGAAAGCTTTATAGGTACTGGAGAGGACGGAGTAGCTGAGTTGCTGAAAGATGGGCGACTTCTCTTATCAACCATTAATTCAGATCTTCTCTATTAACATGACTTCAAGACACCACCAACTTGATTTTTATTTTCTTTACAAAAAGAAGAAAAAAAAAAAAATACTGCAGTCCCTAGCCAATAAATAACTCACCTGAAGGTCAGGAACACCCCCTCCCTCCTTTCTCACAGGGGATGTCTGGGAGGGGAGAGGGGGTTGGAGAGGCCAGGCCATCATCTAAGTGGAAATCAAGGGCTAAAGCTATTGGCATTGGCAACTGTCTCCAGGCGTCGTCCGCGGAGCCTGACCCTGCGCCAGGAAGGAGGAGGTTGTGCCCATGTAACTGTCCTGAAGTACTGCGGTGGCCTCCTCCCCCGCGGCTGGGAGGGCAGGCAGGACGAGGTTGGCTTTCCTTGCACGGTCTCTGGGCGTGGGCCCCCGCCGCAGCTCCGCGGAGCCTCGGTGTCTCCTGCAACAGGGGGCGGGGGGAGCCGCGGCGAGCAGCCCTGGGCTGCGGCTTCCTCCCCACGCCCGAGTCTCCTGCGCACCGCCGCCGAGGACGCGCGCCCGAGCCTGGTCCCCACGCCGCGGCGCGCCTGGGCTATCCGCTGATCCCAGGTAACTTTTCCGCCTCCCAGAGTGGGGGACTGCGAGGGGGTCTCGGCTTTACGAGGTGCGGAGGAAGAGCCCGAGGCCTGGGGCGAGGCGCACGGGCTGTGGGGCTGACGCGTGGCTCCGGCGCCGCGCGGTCTCCCGAATCCCGAGCCCCGCGCCTGGGGTCCCCAACCGCCCTCCCGCTCGCCGGGACCCTCGGCTGGCCGAGCCTGTGCGCCGCGCCCCCCGCCCGCTCCACCCGCCGCGCTGCAGCAGTGGCTGGGCCGGCGCGCAGAGCCTGAGTCCCGGCCTCCGGCCTGGGGGCCTCCCTGGGATCCCTGGCCGATGGGGCAACTCGGTCCCCGCGTCCCTTCTCCGCCAATTTTCGCAAATCCCCCGCCCGGGGCGCCATGTTTTAAGTTGCCCCTCGGACTGGGGGCGAGCGCGGGCCGGCCCCTCCCCCGGGGAGGTGCGAGGGACAGGGGGCGACACTGCGGCGCCGCCCGGGCGGGTGGCGGCTGGCGGGCCGCGGGAGGGGCCGTGCGCTCAGTGCGCGGCGGCTGCGGGCTCGTCCCGGGTGCAGGCGCGGGCGGGCGCGGCGCGGGGCCGGTAAGGTGCGCTCCGCACAAAGCATCCCCGCTGGGCAGCGGGGCCGGCCGCTTTTATATAACTTGCCTGGTTCCCCGAACTGGGGCAGCGGCCCCCGGCCGGTGGGGGAGGAGGAGGGAGCGTCCAAGCGGGGTTGCCCTGGGCCTGGGCACCTGCAGGGGCCCCTCGCCTCTGGCACCCTGGGGCGGGCCGGGGGCGCCTGGGTCGGCCTGTCGTGGCCCGGGGGCTCGGGGCGGCGCGACTCACCTGGCGCCCTCGGGACTGCGATTCGCGTTGGGAGGTGTCTGCGAAGGCGGTTCTGCAGCGGTGGGGGTGGGGAGGCTGGGGCTTCGGACCGCTGGAGCTGGGGTGTCAGCCAGTTCCTGGCGGGTGTTTCCTGGTTGCTGCCGCAGGGGCTTGCTTTTTCGGGTTTCGCCTCTAATCTCGCCCGACTTCTTCCCCTTCCCCCCCCCCCCCCCCCCCACGTCCGCGAAGTTCATGGCTTCTGCAATGCGGTGGGTGTGGTTACCTAGTAAATTGTAACTGTGGTCCCTTGCAATGAGAGTATTCTTCTCAATTTTCTTTTTATATTACGGATCTGAAGTTTCCTAGGGGTTTTCCTTTAGTTGCAGCCTAGGGTTAAAGTTGGTAGAGATTATTGCGGAACAGAACAAATAGAATGATAAAGGAAACATGTGGTATTAATTACTTGTGGAGGTTGGGCTGGGAGGTCCTGAGAGGGCCTGGCAGTCCTGCTAATGCAGTGCTTCCATTGCGTGTTTAAGTTGTTTCAGCTTTTTTACATTAGTCTTGCGGAATTGCTTTTGCAGATATCCTTGCCTTCCTTTTTGTTGGGGGGCGGGGGTTGCAATGGGAATTTTAAGCTCTCTGAGGTGGCCAGGTGTGCTGGAGTTTCTTTTGATAGCATTAACTTCTATAGTACAGGAAGCGTCACACGAAGTGCTTAAAAACATTATTTTTGAAATTCACCCTGATTTTTAAAGTCTCAAGGAAACAAAAATGATAAAATTCCACTTGATGTCTGTGAGCCATGGACGTAGTCCCAATTACAGCAAATTAAGCAGAAAAGCCCTATTAAGAAAAGAGAGCAGCACATCAAGCTCCGGTGAAGTCTGGGGACTGAGAGGTGATTTCTTTCTTGTCTCAGAGAGAGTGTTTAAAAAATGCATGTTAATTTTGGTATCAAACTTTAAAAACTTTAGTTGGAGTAATAAAATTAATGTGAGAGGGAATAAATACTAAATTGGAGAAGCGTGACTTCAATTTGTTAATTTGCAAGGCATTGATAGCTGAATGCTTAATACTGTCTCATTTGCATTATGGTTTTCTGGTAGTTTAGAAAAGCAAACTATCAGAGGCACAACTTACTGCATCAAGTTTGTTTAGTCAATACACTTTAGCCAAAATAAGTTTTTCAAAACAGATCATGTTTTGTGAATAATTCATCCAGAACAAGAAGGGTAGCCACTTTAATTTGTAAACCCCTTTTAGGTGAAGGATTCAGGAGCTATAGGTCAAATGTCAGTGTCTCAGTGAAATATTTACATTTAATTTTTAAGACATTTCTTCTGCTTGAATGTGATTTAGGTTAAAAGCAATTTTTCATCAATTCTTGTACAGTGCTTGGACTTTGGCCAACTTTGTGTTGAAATAAAAGATCAGGACATTTTTAAACTTGATCGGATGCAATTTTATTTATAGTTGTTTTTTAAGAACTGGTTGGTCAAATGCATTAAGGGGCCACCTAGGTAGAAGAGATGCCACTATCCATGCACTGAGAGATGTGTTGCTGTTATCTTGTGAATCTTTTCTGGACTTACATGGTATATTAGATTAAGTGTGGCAGGAGCTTGCTGTAAAAAGTGTTTTCTGTAAAATACTGTAAAAGTATTTTCTTCCATGTCGTATGATGTGCATTCATCTTTTAAGTTAGTGCTTTCCCTAAAATTCACAAACTAGAATTCATGTCGTCTCCAGTAAAGTAGAACTCCAAGAGTAGACTGAGGAATAAATGTTTTCTTTCTGTGAGAATTTGACTATATATAATGAAGAGAGGGCCTTTTTTTTTTTTTTTTTTTGAGATGGAGTCCCACTGTGTCGCCCAGGCTGGAGTGCAATGGCGCAGTCTTGGCTCACTGCAACCTCTGACTCCCGGGTTCAAGCAATTCTCTTGCCTTGGCCTCCCAAGTAGCTGGGATTACAGGCGATCACCACCACGCCTGGCTAGTTTTTGTTTTGTTTGTTTTTAATTAATAGAGACAGTGTTTCACTACGTTGGCCAGGCTGGTCTGGAACTCCTGACCTCAGGTGATCCGCCTGCCTCAGCCTCCCAAAGTGCTGGGATTACAGGCGTGAGCCACGGAGCCCGGCCGAGAGAGGGTGCTTGAGTAATCTACCCTGGCCGTCTTTAATTCCCATAGTCTCCTCTAAGTACCCCATCAGTTTTCCGTGGAGTATAGACTCACCATTGAAACCCATGAATCAAATTTATCTTTAGCACCACTTCATTTAGAGAGATCCTTAATCGTACGATCGCTGCGTCTATTTCTTTCAAAAGGCTAGCTGGCTGCTGATTTGTTGGGAATTCATCAGGCACTCAGCCCAGGGAGGGTTCTGCAGTTATTTGGTTTGCCTTGGCTGTGAGGAATTCTGTGCTCAGAAGCAAGGACTGGAGCAGTGAAGTCATTGTCCTGCCTGGTGTTGTGACATCACTATGGCTCAAAGGAAACAAGGGTGGGGCAGGCAAAACCAGACCTTCTGAAGCATCTCGCATCTCGCTGGCTTTAAAACTTTGCCTGATCAATGACTGAGACTCTCCTTTCTCAAGTTGAACTGCATTGCGAGGTATTGTTTGGAGAATTAGAAGATATAAATGAATGTAAGACTACATGGGAAAATGTGTCTCCAAGAGGAAGGAAGGAGAGGTTTGTGTGTGTGTGTGTGTGTGTGTGTTTTGTGTGTGTGAAATAGTAGAAAGCATTGAATATTCCTTTTGTAGAGAAAAATACTGTAATTTTTTAGAAGGGCCATTTACAAAATTAAAGAACAAGAAAAATGAGTATATTTGTATTTATATATCGAGTCAACATATTTCTTACTGTTCTTTGTACTAAAAGAGCATTCTTTTTAAATTCTTGATTTAGGTTGTTAGTAATTTTAAAAAAGTATGTGGTCTCTCTGAAGATGCAATTTACTTATTGGGTAGGCAATGTTCTCATTTATTTTTAAGTGATGTGGTTGCAGTTGGCAATTGGAAAAAATGGAAAAAGGTATTTCATAAGTGTAGAAGGTATCTGCAGTGATTTGGAGTAATTGATTTCCATTTCCATTTTTGTTTTATGTACTAATTATTTTATAATTTAGCATTTTAATCCTAATTTAGAATTCTAGTACAGAGATGATCAGAGATATGTTTCACCCAAATTAGTATTGAATAAATGATAAGACTGAAATTCAGAAACAATAAAGTACATTTCATGTTTTCCTTTCTGAATTTATAGTAATATCAGCATAAAAAATGAAGAACCACAGAATGGCTGCAGATGTTCCTTGTCTTTTCCATACCTCCTTGCTAAGATGACTGACAATTTTCATGTGAGTGTATTATGTATGTAGGAGCTCTGGGCAGTTCTTTCTTAACTGTATAGCAATTCCAGAGCAGAGTTTCAAAGCATAAAGAAGAAACAAATTGGGAAGAATGGCACAAGTAGAGAAGTTGAAATTAGATGCCAGAACTGCAGATTACTTGGTTGAAATGTCTTTGGTATTGCATTTTTAGTCCTTGCGATGATTGGTTAAATTGCATACTTTGGAATTGTAAGCTTCTATTAGCACCAAACCCCTAATTCTTTTGTAATTTGCAGTACAGAGAAAAAGCTGACAACTTAATTTTTAGATTGCTGACATTTTGATACGTTGTTCTTATAACCCTGCCTTACAAACTAAAAACAGAGAGAGAGAGAGCGCGAGAGAGAACGCAGAAAGGTCTATATTAGACCTAGAAAACAAATGCAATATTTAACCTGCCTTGAGTATATATTTTTCTCTCCAGTTATATTGGGTGGGTGCTTGATGAGGATAGGGAGTTATTTCTTTTGAGATTTCTTTCCCAAACCGAATAGAGGTCTAGACACTTAAAGCATTCAGTAAATACTTACAGAATTGTGTAAAAAGTGGGGCCGTTTGTAACTTATGCTTTACTACCAAAAAAAAAAAAAAAAAAAAAAAATCTTGGAGAAGGTTTAAAAAGCATTGCTGCTTTATTTAAAAATGAGAATTACCGGAGTCATGTGTATGTAGTCATTATTTTTAATGGCATGGTCCTCTTCATAACAAGATTGTTACCTCTGTCAGTAGCTCAAATTGGGTAGGTCCTAGAGGTTTTGCCATATCAGGAAAGAGAATTCTGCAGGTAC